TGGCAAATTCGGACTTGGGTCATTCATTATTAGGTAAGGTAATTTCAGGTTTAGACTACATTCAGTTTTAATTCAATGCGGGTACTCATTTTAAATTTAGATTCAGTTCGTGTGCAACACCATAATCTCGAATATAAAATGCCCAAAATTCAAAATGCTACATCCAAGTCACCAGAGCGGCCCAACAAAATTTTCAAATATTTTAAAACATTTCATATAAGAGAAAAACATAAATAATTATACTAAAATTATACTAAAATTAGTTATACAAAAATATGTGGAACTCCATAAGTGTGTATATATATATCAAAATAGTTAAATACCCAAAATAATAAACGAGTTACAGACCTCAAAATACAAATGAGAACCTATGAATACAATACTCACTAACAGAGAAAGTACCGTGTTCAAAATACGAGATGCTGAAAATCCTTTGTTGATTATGCTCCTCAAACACGAACAAAAGTATAGGTCGAATCTAGCATGTAGCCCCCTAGATGACAAGAAAATTCTCATCTCAAACGGATATCAAATTAGTCTTTAATTGCACAAAGTATTTTTGGGTTTAAATTGTAATATGATATAGAATTATATTAAGATAAGCGAAAATTTATATATTTAACCTAAAATAACAAAACAAGGATCATAGTATCTGTATTTTATGAAGAAAATCTAATTTTTTTCATATAAAATTGTCTATGTCAATCAAATTTATCTTATATATATACTCTAAACCAATTGCAATAAAACATAACACACAAAGAGAATAACAAATAGCATAATCATAGTATCTGTATAAATTTTAGCTTATAAATACTTGAAACAAGGATTATAGTATCTGTATTTTATGAAGAAAATCAAAATTTTCCAATTGTAATTGTCTACTGTCAATCAATTTTAGCTTATAAATACTTGAAACAAGGATTATAGTATCTGTTGCTTGATCCCTAGTGCAAAGAGATCTCTAGTGCAAAGTCTTTGGGAAGATGACTAGGCCATAGATCCCTAGTGCAAAGAGATATATCACCTTTCATTGGGATGATTCTTTATCAGTTGCTTGATGTGGATCCAAGGAATTCTTTCTCTTTCACCTTTATACTTGATGAAGAAATAAGTATAAGAATCCTCAAGGCTAATTGATAGGCCTTACATGGAGAATAATTTCTTACGAAGGTGTCGCGTTCACCCCCATTTAAATGAGTTCAGAGCTCAGGTATAGAGCTTAAGGCGCGAGTCCTTTTATTTAAAAAAAATGAAATCATAACAAAACGGTTAGTCCAAGTATTTATTTGAAAAAAAAATAATCAACGATAAATAAAAGGGCTGAACATAAATTAAAAATCTAAACATACAATTTTCGCTTAAAAGGAAAACCGATAATTGAATTTTGGCTTGACTCTCTACTATCCCCAATGAAGTCACCAAGCTGTCGTAAATGTCCTTCTGCTAGTCTTGGATTCATGTCTCGACTTGGATTGAGTGATGGAGTATCCACCTATCGTTTTGGAATTAAGTAGATCGTACACCTTAAATTTACCATTTTATCGGATCTGCATCTTACTAAAGAAATATCAAATTTGAGAGTCGATTACATTCAAGGAAAGATAAATACCCTCGTATTGCTCTTTCGGTACCACCACAATTATCTAGTTGTCTTAATTGTAAAAATTGGATTTTAGCTGAAAATTTCGATCGGAACTACTTAACTTTGATGAAGTTGTTACTGTTAGAAAAATAAATTAGGGTTTTAAGAAGATTAAAATAAGAATAACTTGGATCTAGCCTACCAAAATAAGAAAAAAGGGTTACGAGTATATATATATATATAATTCATACAAATAAATTAATACTAAAAAAATTCAAACATCACGTGAAATAAATACATACAAATCCCAAAAAGTAAATAAATAAGTAAAAAACAAAAATTAACGAAAAGTGCATATATTAAATAGAAACAAACTAAAACAAATTAAAGGGAATAAATTAAGTAAACATCCTATAGCCTATTAAAGGAAAAACCAACTAAAAGAAATTATAGTAAACATTAAAAAATGAAAACTGAAAAAGAAAATTGAAATTAAAACAAGAAAATAACTGATAATCTAATTAAAGAGAAAAATTAATGTAAAGCAAAAATTAAATGTGAATTCAGGATTGAAACAGATTATAACAAGTATGGGAAAGAAAAATAAATAAGATAATAAATAAATGGTAGGATTGAAGCAAATTTTAAAAGAGATAAAACGAATTTGGAAATAGAATTTAAAAGAAATCAAAATTGAATTATGGGTAAGAGGACTAAAACAAATTTTCAAATGAAATCAAGGACAATGGTTATAATTATCTTCTACCCGTATAAAAACACGTCAATCCTATAAGGATAGGAATTGACTCCTCGTGTCATTTAATTGAAAAATTGGATTAAAATAAATAACTAAAATAAAGGGAAAAGCAATTCCCTTAAGGTCCACCATCGATTTTCATAAAAAAAATCTCAAGGAAAGTTAAATCTATAAAGATTTATCTAAAAGTTTTTCTTCCTTGTTCCTCAATTTTCTATCGTTCAATGAAGTGGGTTTTAAGAAAAATGAAAGTCGTAATTGGCCGAAACAATAGATATAAAATAAATATAAAAATAAAAGAAAAGGATCGCCAATTTTCACTGAGAAACCTTAAGGAAGGCTAAGGTGGCGCTTGGTTCGCTGGAATCATTTGGAATTAGGGGGAATTGGAATCCAATTCTACCACTTTCTCATGTTTTGTTCAAGTTTTCAAAGGGGTAATTGAAATCCAATTCTATCAAATGAGGGAAAGTAAATTCCATCCATAACATGATGAAATTGAAATCCTTTGGAGGAGGCAATGTGAAATTTGACCATACTACCCTTATCAACCATTTGGTATTCGGGTCGGATTTTTTTTAAAAAAATTTGGGATCGGGTCGGGCCGGGTCAGGTTTTTTTAAGTGTGATATTTGGGTCGGGTTTTTTTTTAAAAAAAATCGGGATCGGGTCGGATTTTTTCTTAATTTTTGGGTTAGGGTCGGGTTTTTTTAAGTGTTATATTCGGGTCGAGATTAAGGTTTAGGGTTTGGTTTGAGTTTAGGGTTTAGGTCAGGTTTAGGGTTTTTTAGATCACTATTTTTATTGAATAAAAATATTTTTTTATTATTTCGTGTCGGGTCGGGTGAAACTTTATTTTGGTCGAGTCGGGTCGGGTCTCGGGTGGAGGTTCCATTGTTCTCGGGTAGGGTCGGGTGGACCAAAAACCCGACCCAACCCGACCCATGGCCATCCCTAATTACGATGATGTTAACTTATGATGTTTATTAGCATGAGTTTTATAGTTTATTGAAATGAATAATCAATCAATAAAATGAAAATTTAATATTTTTAAATTTTTTATAATATATTGCTACATGTAAGTTATAAAACAAACTAAAATAAAGCAAAAAAATAAGAAGGGTAATTCTGTCATTTTACATTACTGAAATCAAATTCATCTGATATGTCTGTGAACAAAACAAAATATGGAATTGGATTCCAATTCAATTTCCTGCCAACCAAACAGGTTTCAGATTCAGATTCCAATTCCTGACAGATTCCAATTCCTGACAGATTCCAATTCCCTCAGAAACATTCCAGCGAACCAAACTCCACCTAAATCTATGAAGATTTATTTAAAAGTCTTTTTCCTTGTTCCTGGGTTTTCTCTCCTTTAATAATTTTTTAAGATAAGTAAAAAAAAAAAAAATAAAACAAAGAAAAGACGAAATTGAACAAAGTAACATGAAAAAAAAGACTTTCCTTTGATAAAAAATTTTCTTTATTGTTCGAATCTTTTAGGTTAGCAACGCCTCCTCTCATTACAAATAAGAGTGTGTTCTTGCCTCTTTTCATTAATGCTAAATACACTAATTAAAAGAACATAAATTCTACCATAATAAAATATCCTAAATCACCATAAATAAAGAAAAGAAAGTATAAAGTTGAATTTAATTACAAATAATCAATAAAATAATTGAAAATTTGTAATAAATTAAAGTTTCCATATTGGATATGTATTGAGATGTTTCAAAATACATTGGAAAGCTAATTGAAAGTCGGTTCTATCTTAGGAAGACATCATTCCTATAAAAATACAAGTCAATTGATGTATCGAGTTTCAAAATCTTCTTTTATAAAAATATTTGGGTCTTGTAGATATTGGGCCAGACAAAAATTGAGTATTACAATATAAATTAAAATAAGACAAAATAATAATAAAGTTACAACTCAAAATATAATTAAGGTTCCTATAAATACACATGCCCTCTAAAATGAATTGAATATTTCAATAAGAAAAGATGATGTAAATTCTTCAATAATGATGCTTTTGACACCCTATACTCGATCAAGATAACTCAACTCAGATACGAAATGTAATGCTTAAGGATATTTATATCTTTTCACATACATAATACAAAATCAAGTCAAAATTAAAACTTAAATCATCGTGCTTTAGTTCGACATGCTTATAGATGACAAGAAAACTCTCATCTCAAACGGATATCAAATTAGTCTTTAATTACACAAACAAAGTATTTTTGGGTTTAAATTGTAATATGATATAGGATTATATTATGATAAGCGAAAATTTATATATTTAACCTAAAATAATCAAAACAAGGATCATAGTATCTGTATTTAATGAAGAGAATCCAAAATTTTCATATAAAATTGTCTATGTCAATCAAGTTTATCTTATATATACTCTAAAGCAATTGCAGTAAAACATAACACACAAAGAGAATAACAAATAGCATAATCATAGTATCTGCATAAATTTAGCTTATAAATACTCGAAATAAGGATTATAGTATCTGAATTTTATGAAGAAAATCCAAATTTTCCATATGTAATTGTCTACTGTCAATCAATTTTAGCTTATATATACTCCAAAGCAATAGCAATAAAACATAAAACACAAAAAGAATAAACAGATAACATAACCATACTACAATGGCTACCACCGTCCACTTCTTCCTTTCAGCTCTCTTTCTTTCTCTCGTTGCCCAAGGTAATTCCCAACCCATATATATATATATATATATTGATCTTAAAACTTGTAGTATATTGACACTCATATTTTACCTTGATATATTTTGAAGGATACTGTCAATGCTCGATAGCCGACGTGACGATCAGACAAATGCAAACTGGGAAAACAGTGGCAAACAAGGCGGAATGGAAAGCCACAATCACCAACGGTTGCCCTTGCACTCAGTCTGATTTGAAACTCAGCTGCGATGGATTTCAGACAGTGGAAGCCGTTGATCCGTCGGTGATATCGAAATCAGGGGGAGAATGTTTGATCAACGCTGGCCAGCCAGTGGCTCCCAACACCTATCTGAGCTTCAACTATGCTTGGGATACTCCCTTCTCCTTCAAGCCCCTTTCATCCCAACCCAATTGTTCTTACATTTTGAGTCTAAAAGTACGATTTTTGAATTCTAGTGCTACTAAGTTCCTTCAATAATGAAACAAAATTTTATTTCCCTATATAACTATAAATTATTTTCATGCTTTTTTATTTATAATTTTAAGATTATTTGCTAAATTACATTGAAATACTCACACAAAAATAATGATAAACATAGGACCTTTCAGAGATGAAACGCAAAGCTGAATCCCATGTAAAATATTAGGGAATAGAAACAACCTATAAAGAAAAAATATGAAGTAACTTATGCAGAAAAAGAGAATATTATTCTTACTAGAGATCTTGAATTCAAGTAACTACGTCCACAATGTTTATGTGCTGTCAGTTGGTTAAGAAAATTTTAGCTAGATACTATCTTATAATCACATTATTTTATTAAAAGAATTTTATTTCTTAAATTGTAAAATTGGCTCAAAATTATAATCTTTCCTTCACCTGGGCAGGTAAAGTTTTTTTTAGAATAATATAAGTAGATAAAATATAAGTCCCCTTTTTTTCTTTACAAATCCTAATTTTAATTATACCAAGAGAGGAAGGGGAAGTGGTGACTATAGAGGAAGGAATGAGTGTTTCTAATGGGTATAATACATGAGTTAAGGAAATATAAGAAAACAAAGAAGATATGTCTGACTAACCGGTCAAATGTGCTTACTCATAAATTGAGTTGTTGTTTTTCTTTTTATTGGTTGATAAATTTGTTTTAAGGGATGATGTTATCTCTAAAGGTCTAAGGTTCGAGCATGTCGTATGTACTTTGTTGGGACGTTTGAACGTTTATTATCAAATTTTAAGAGTCTTTCAAACTTGTATTAATTTACGAAAACAAGAGTTGGAAACCATGAAATGATGCTAATTTAGGAAAGGAAAATTTTGATATTTTGCAAGATTTTGACGGCAGGGAGATTGAACATGATGCCTACAATTTAGACAAAGAAGTTGAGAGGAATCATAACTCCAATGTGGAAAATTTAGTTGCTAAAATTAAAGAAAAATAATGATAAAATTTCGGAATAAAGCAGTTTTTGAAGACATTATTCAGAAAGAAGAGGCTACTATGCTCATCTAAATAGTATTCGGAAAACTCTTAAGATATTTCTTTATGCTAATCTAATCCGAATTGAGTGAGAACTTTAATTGGAGCTTGAAAATATTTTAGATCACAAGGAGTTGATGCAAAAATTAAGGTGTAAGTGGATACTTGATTGGGGTCGTAACACAATTTTTTTCATCACAAAGAGAAAACTAAAAAGAAATAGAATCACGTTACGACTAGGAGTGTTAAAAAATACTCGACTCAGTTGATCCAATCCGTCGACTTGTCGACCCGAACATTAAAAAATGGGTAATTATATAAAAAACTTTAATATATATATATATATATTATAGCCAAATATTTATTCTTTAAGCTAACTTCAAATCACTAATTTTTTTGTATGGATTGTGTATAATGAATTTTTAAATTTTATTTATTTTCTATGTGATTTAAAAAAAATTAATTAAAAAAAATAGATGAACCGGGTACCCATAACCTAAAAATATGGTACCCAGATTTTACGAGTATCCGACTTCTAACTACCCAGACTTTGCGGGTCAGGTCATGAGTCGACAAATATACTACCCAAAGAACCGAATACCCGGTATTTCGTATATCCAAAAAATATGGATATCAAGTTTTGAACATCCATAGTTACAACCATGCAATTGATGATGGCAAATGGTGTTATGATAGTCCATAGAGGACAAATTTTGGTGTCCAAACCATTTAATTCTTTATATCGTATAACTAGGGGAGAACAAAAATTGATTTGACTTGATAAATTAATCTTTTTGATTTGTTTTGATAATTGATCTTTTTGATTTGACTCAATTTAAAAAAAAATTCAAATTTGAATCAAGTTCAACTCTCTATGATACATATATATCACATATGTAAAAATATAAAAAATATATATAAATTGTATATGGTCATAGAAAATTGTATAAATTTAAATCAAATAGTATCATAACTCTTGACTCAAATCAAATTTAATAAAAGCTTAATACAAAAACAAGTGCCTATACTATACCTTGAAATATGATTTAGTGTCTAAAGAATTTTCGCTAAAAATAGGTGTCTAATGCTTTCAATGTTAAACTTGTATGTGTCTACCGTTATCTTTTTTAAATTTTTTAATAAAATATTTTTTTAAAAAGAAAAAATAATTTATTTATAAACACCCAATTTTTTACTAAAATTATAAAAAAAAAACTCTAAAAAACTAAAATCTCTCATTTCAATCCCCATCTTTGGCCACCATCATCATTGTCAAATGGTAACCCACCCGTCACTGCCCAACCAATTATCAATCGTCATCCTTACCGTCACCCTAATCCCCTAAATCTCTAATCCTTTAAAACCCTAATCCCCAATTTAATTTTCTTTTTTCTAAAATTCCCAATATCAAAGGAGTTTAACTATGGTTAATGACAGTGACGGTGGCTGGAGTGTCCGACAACTGTGGAAGGTGAAGGGAATGGATAAGGGAAAAGGGGTTGATTTTATTTCGTTTTCTTTCTTCTGCTTTAAAACAAAAAACCTTCTCCTCCTCAAGGGGTTTCAAGGGACTACAGTGACAGTGGTGGCAGTGGCTCGTGAATGATGAAGGGGAAGGAAGAAGGGGAAGGGGGGACAGTTGGTTTTTTAAAAATAATATATATATTTTTTAAAAATAGAAAAATATTTGAAATTTTATAAGCGTGAAACGTGTTAGATAACGATAATATTTAACTATCCTTATTCTTTAGAAACCTAAAAGTGCTCTGTTGGAAACATTAGACACCTATTTTTAGTGAAAAATTCTTTAGGCACCAAGTTGTATTTTAAGGCATAGTTTAGGAACTTATTTTTGTATTAAGCCTTTAATAAACTCAACTGGACTTGAAAAAATTCAAATCAAGTTTGAGTTATAAAATAAGACTCAACTCAAATAACTCAAAATTTATTGGCTCGACTCGACTCGACTCGATTCGATCATACACTCACTCTTAGATACAATCTGCTTGCTCATTGTGGCTGCTACATACTGGAATAAAGCAGTTTTTGGAAACATTAGTAAGAAGAAGAGGTGACTAGTTGCTCGTCTAAATTGTATTTAGAAAACTCTTGAGATTTTTCGTTATGCTTAATCGGAATTGACAGTGAACTTCAAATGGAGCTAGAAACTACTTTAGATGATGATGAACTGTTATTGATGCAAAAGTTAAGATGTACGTGGATACTGGATGGGGAATTGTGTAATACCCCCCACACTTGAATCATGGATTGAGAGCATTACCGAGACCGAAAGCAAGAACAAGATAATGGAACGATGAATCAGATATACGCATCGGACAATACAGTTGAAGAACTATTTTTTAATACAAGATTACAATTCTTAATCACTACTTATCAATTAATTCGATTAAGACATGAATACCAATTTAGCTATGAAATTTTCCATTAATTTCAAATCTATAATTCATTAAACCGATTAATAATATCAAACCACATGCATAGCTAGGAATTTAATGAACTTAACATACTACATCATCATTTCATAATCTACTTATATATATTTTCATTACAAAATAGACCCTTAATGGATTATACCAAATGACATGCTAGTAAGCTAGATACATTCCCAAAAGAGTCATTATCGATACATACATTAGGGTCCTTTAACTACATGGACTATATAATTTCATTAGGTTCTTAGGTACATTTCATATACAACCTAATTACCCACCATATGCATGAAATATGAACCATTATTTTCAAAACTAAGCCACCAACTAGGAGTATAAGGATAACTAAACAAGCCTACCCTTGGATTGATTAGCTAAGGAGGTGGAGCTTCGAATTCTCTAGAACATGTGGTTTTGGGAAAGAAAGGAACAAGAGTAATAAGTACTTATACTACTTAGTGAGGTATCATTTAATCCACTTTTTCCATTAGTCATTCTTAATCCTCATGCACATACATATCATTCGGTCATACAATATAACATAAGAAACAAGTAATTCAAACTCACACATGACCATAGAAACCTAATTACATGCATGTACATTTAATTATCATGCACATGCAATCATTCCATTCAAATAAGAAGACAATTTCACAATTCGAATACATGCACAACCCATGTTGTTTTAACCAAATACGATTAATCAATACATTTTTGTAAGCCTTGGTCATAAGTTTAGCCTATATATCAAGTCTCCAACCAAATTTTCGCCAACAATAATGCACTGTAGTCCTGGTCAACCCTCCTATTGTCACCAAAGACCAACTAAACCTACCCTTCGTCAGTAACCAATATGTACCGTAGTGTTGGACTGTAGTCCCCCATTACACAAGAGCTCAGACTTTAAGGCATGTCGTTCTATCTAGTATCAACTATTAAGCAAGGGATTATGTTATTTTAACATACAAGTCATATATTAATTACTTGTCTATCAAGCAACATTTCACATCAAGGCCATTCGAATGATACTCTTCATGTTACACTATTCCACAATAATCTAATCAAGATCATTCCATGAATCGCCTATAGGCCAATAACTTAGAATTGTAACATGGATTCAATGCAATGAAAAAAACAAGCTTTATCTCAAGTATCAACATGGAACATAGTTTAATCAAACATGGCAGCATGCATGAACACATTAATTAAGTTTATATTTTTTATTAGTCCTTTCTTACCTTAATCTCAAATTTCCAGTATACATAAGTTTCATTTAATAACATGATAATTAAATAAAATTTGATATGCAATAAGAAAATAATGGATGGGACCTAATTGACAACCCAAAATAGAGTTACACTTACTATACTCCGGCTAGTCGCGGATCGCTATTCCCTTTAGCTTAGCTTTGGTAGGTTCTCCCTTAGATCCTTTGTCCACTTCTTCAGTTACTTTCTCTACTAGTTTATATACAATGTAGAAAGATCATTAAAGTTTATTCGTTAACAATTTAAACTTAATTAAACGATATTGCACCAAACAGTTTCTGGTTG